CACACACATACAGACACACACACACATACATACAGACACACACACACATACACACACACACACACACACACACACACACACACACATGTAGGTGAAAACATATGGTTTTAGATCACTCATTTTCTTCTGCTTTCAACTCTCTATTACATCCAATAATTCGGGTCCAACCTTCCACGCTGCCATATGGAATGTAAAACGTGAGCAGAACATGATTGATCAACAAGGATAAGTTGTTTAATCAACACCCACTCATTTTCTTTTGAGTTCACTCAATTCTCATTTTCGACTGCCGTCCTTTCCCTCCATCCTTTCATCTCCCTTCCTTCCTTGTGTTGGAGCAGCTTCCCGAAGCATCCGTCAATCATAATTTGCATAAGCCGCGGTTACTGTAGCCATCAACGAAATTTCTAAATGAAGAGACTAGCAATCAAATTTGTTGGGCTTCTTAATCTTTGTGTTTGTTGATCCCACTACTGGTGGAAGGGTCGAAGAGGCTATCGAAGTTTTGTGGGTCAACCATTCCCTAACATCCTGTCACATCACATAATTTTCAAAATCCAAAAGTTTGGTACATTTTCGTGGTCGGTTCTGTCTACTCATTGTGCTGTGTTATTGCCGATGCGAGGGTTCTAATCTACCCATTACCATGAATTGAGAGAGATAACATTTGAATAAAAAAGCAAAAATTGGCAGAATTTCCACAGCCTACATGACCCAAACTTGAAACGTGTATTTACAACATACTTCTTGAAAAACAGCATTTTACTTTTAGCATCTGTTTCAGGTATTGTGTTATCTCGGATTTTCTCGGAATCTAGTGATTCTGCACACTATACAACTTTTCGTCATCACGCAACAGCTTCCGTCAAATTTAAGTAAGTACCTCCAAGGTTTTGAACCACAGAACAAGTCAGACACAAAAGTCCAAAGACAGCGTAGATTTAGAGCTCAACAGAAGAGAGATCATGATGTTTTTTTCTTCATTGCTGAATTTGTAGTAGCGAGCAAGTTTACGTAAATAGCGACTTTTGAAATTTCTAGGAGTAGAAGACATCCAGTTCTGGAATCGAATTGGAAGAGAACATATAGAGCGAAAGCTGAAGGCAAATCCTTATCTGTTGAAAAGTAGGATTTTCAAGTTTGAGCATTTAGTGTGCTGTTTTTTCCTTTCCCAAATGCGCTTATCGAAGGTGGCCAATTCTTCATTTTGGATAGAAATGTAGACATTAATTATGAATAAGGGAATTTTTTTTGCAGTGAAAAGGCCAAAAAATGTGATTCTATTTGTTGGAGATGGAATGGGTGTTGGCACTGTAACTAGCGGAAGAATCCACAAAAAGCAAATTTTGAAAAGTTCTTATGTAACTGAATCATTGTTCTTCGAAAATTTTCCAGCAGCAGGTTTAGTTAAGGTAAACTTAGTATTCAATTATGCACGATATAATATTAATCTTGTAAATTATTGAAGTTGTCTATTTAGACAAGTTCTCTCACCCATCACGTCACCGATTCTGCTGCTGCAGCAATGGCAATGTTCTCTGGATGGAAAGTGAGCTCAGGATACCATGCATCCATAATATTCACTGTTAGCTGTGCAAAGAAATATCAATCAGTGATCAACGAGCTAATCAGAGGACTAAATGCTATACTGCAAAATTTAAAGCGTCTTATATCAAGATGTGGACATTTCCTTATCCTCATTTTCTAACATTGATGCTCCTTTCCCAATCTTCTGTTATGTATTCTTTGAACAGTAAGGGTTGATTGAACGATGTACTTGAAAGAACAGTGAGCGGTCAAGTTTACCCCTAAAGCCTTCCACACTCTCTCATGTACTAGGGCAGTAATTCCTACATCTATAATGTTCGTTTCTTGATCTTTCTTACCTTTGCAAAATGAAAGTATATTTTGTGGGTTTGATGAGGGAACAAAAGAAAGAAAACTTACCGAAAGTATTTCGAACTAGATTTTTCTTAGTGACATAAATTTTCCAGGCGGACGGCTTTATGTTAGGGATGAAGCCAAACTCAAAGACACCTTGTACGGCTAATAAAACATTTTGGATTACAGAAGGAATCGCAGAGTCTGTTTTAGAAAAAGGTCCTGCACTCAAACTAATAAACGAGAAGAAGCAAAATTTTTAATTTCAGGCATGGACGTTGGTTTTGTTACCACTACTAGAATAACACACGCTACGCCGGCTGCTCTCTATG